TAATTAATGCTATGCCTACACCTGCAAGATCGAGAGAGCGAGCCGTCGAATCTCTAGAAACTCGAAGGGTGGATTTCATGGATTCACCAGATTGGCTGAGTGAGGTTGGGTGGATAACCCCACTTGGGTCCTGTATGCGAGTCTCACAAACACAGCACACACCCATGGTCGAGTTGCTAGAGTCTCGGCCAATGTTGCGACATTATCTACAGATCCTAATACAAATGTTCTCACTTATGAGTGGGTATTCCACAGCTTTCGATCCTTCATTGAAACTTGGCAATCTTTGTGAAAAGTTATTCACGAAGCAATCTCCTGACAAAATTGATGACTGCAGGCATTTATTGAAGTCTGGAGATTCTCAACGGAAACTTTGGTATCAGCACGTGATGACGACAAATGATGCTGGTAAACTTATTGTATATCACTTGATGTTCATAACAGACTAAAAATCCAAGACTATTTTTAGCAGACACTGGGATACAAATCGGCAAGACAACTTTCTCAACAGAAAATGACCACCAACATAGGCATAAAAGCGCATCACAGTAAAAAGGTCGTTCATCAATACATACGGCCGCCTAACTTACATTTCGTCAAGTCATTACTAATGCTCTCCTCACAAATGATTCCAGCGGCATACATCTCAAATACTAGTTACCAGAATTTGCATAAATTTTTGACTAAGCCAACCACGCTTGGTTAACTAGTCACAAACCCGTCCTAAGCTCAGACAAAGACAGAACGTTGGGTATACGCCTAACAACCTTACCACGTAAAACAAACTAATTGCTAAAAAAACTTCAAAGCACAAAGAAAATATAAAAAATAAAATAAACCCATTCCTCAATGGAATCAGGGAGACGAAATGACGCCGGTTGCTGAAAACCATCGCGAAGCCAATTGGGCGATATGTCCTCTCTCTCGATGAACGCAAAAGTAAGCATAGGGACATGGAATGTCCGAACAATGTTTGAAGCTGGCTGGCAAGGCTGACCAGATTTCAAAAGAAATGAGAAGGTATGGCATGGAAATGCCAGGAATCTGCTAGAGTAGATGCAATGGAAGTGGACTCTCCAAACTGTCAACTAGAGAGTCGATAGTCTACTCTGATATTTTCACCCAGACGACAACCACAAGCACACTGAGTTTCGGAGTGGCTATCATGATCTCCCCCAACAGCATCGAAGGCTCTCATACAGTGGGAACCAATCTCCTCCACAATCAGGATTATGACAGCAAGATTCAACTCAAAAGAAAAGAAAGTAACAATCATACAACACTACGCTACGCACCTACAAACAATGAAGACCAAGAGAAAAAGGAGGAATTCTACAGACAACTGCAATCAGTAATGGACAAGACCCCACCCCAGATGGAGACATCAATGGGTGACATGAATACCAACACAGGAAGAGAAATCATCAAGGGTGGAGAAGCACTCAGTGAAATGAACGAGAATGGAGAATTGTTTGCAGACTTCTAAGCAAACAACGATTTGGTGATTAGAGGCAGTGTGTACAAACACAAGGATATTCACAAGGTAGCGACATGGATTTCACCAGACACTAGGACACACTAAAAATCACATCAACTTCATCTCAATGTGAAGAAAGTGGAGACGCAGCCCACTGAACACAAGATCAGATGAAGAAGGGGAGCAGATGTAGGTGGTTCACACCACTCACTATCTAGTGCAAGGAACCTACCTTCCAAATCAAGTTGAAGCATATCACAGAAGTTGGTGACAGACAGATCACAGTTCAAGTTCAACAACCACACAGAACAGAAACTGAACTGACGGACGAAACTAATGAGGACATCTTCATGTCAGTCAGTCAGTCATCAGGAAAAAATGAGAGAAATTAGGCAACATCCATGAAGAAAACTGCGTGGAAGGACACTGGAACCCTTTGAAAGAGACGTGGAAGGAAACCTGCATAACCGTGTCAGGAAGGAAGAAGAAGCAAGACAAGACAAGGAATGGATCTCCACGGACACATGGAAGCTGATAGAGCAGGGAGAGGAAGATGGCGAGGTAGAAGATGAACCAGTGCAATGTAGTGCAGTGCAAGGAACTGAACACAACCTACAAAACACTCACTACACTGGACAAAGAAGTGAAGAAGAGTGCGCGCAAAGACTAGAGACACTTCTACAACACACTGGCAATTGAAGCAGAACAGGCTGCTGGTAGCAGAGACAGAGACCTGACAACAACATATCAAATAACCAGGTTACTATCTGGGAGGGAAGAGATCAACGCAGATGAAACCAATGACAGATAGTGAAGGAAAACTAGTTACCAAAAAGGAGCAACAAAGGCAACAATGAGCTGACCACTTCAAAAAACTCTTGAATCAACCAACACCTGCAACTCGTCCAGAAATACCACCAGCAGTCCAGCCACAGAACTATCAGTGAACACAAAACCTCCAACAAAAGCAGAAGTGAGTGCCATAAAGTTGCTGAAATCCAGGGAAGCACCACGGCCAGATGGAATTCCTCCAAACGCAGAGACAACAGCAGACATGCTCACACCACACCAATACTGCAGGAGGTTTGCAAGGAAGGCAGGAAAGGTACCTGCCTGCCGATTGATGGGAAGAATGGCTTTCGCAAATTCCAAGCACTTCCATGCCGTATCTCTTTCGCAATCTGGGCAGCGTATTTAGGTTCATACATTATTCGTCCATTTCTTTTCCCTATGCTTACTTTTGCGTTCATCGAGAGAGAGGACATATCGCCCAATTGGCTTCGCGATGGTTTTCAGCAACCGGCGTCATTTCGTCTCCCTGATTCCATTGAGGAATAGGTTTATTTTATTTTACATAATTTCTTTGTGCTCTGAAGGTTTTCTAGCGATTGTATTGATTTTCCTAGGTAGAGTCGCTAGCCCCACGCCCACCCTTCCGTCTTCGTCCGTAATTAAGAGCGTTCAGTTAACCTGTGAACTAGTAATCTATGCGAGCTTTTTAGAAATTTCTATGTATATAATGTGAATTCTGTCTCCGTCTGGTTTCTGCAATGAGCAAGTTAGTAATGCGAGATTACCCTTCTTTAAATCCATGTTTTCGGTGTGTAGAGAAGTTCATGCTCATGAGGCGATTCCCCAGTCCATTGTAGATTAGTGACTGCATTACTGTGGAGGAACTGGGTGAGAAAATCACCGAGTTTTAATTCTTCGGGTTGATATGTTGACCTCCTTTGAAGAGTGGCTTTATGTGGTCCAACTCCCAGGTATTGAGAACTTTCCCTTGACTAGTAGAATCCTTGAATAATTTGCTTAAGGGTTCGCACAAGACTGGCGCTCCTTCTTGCAAAACTGCCGCATGAGTTTTTGACCTGCAGGGATCTTTCGTGAGCATTAGCAGCTTGCACTGTACTACCATAACTCTTAAGCCAACGACTAAGAGTTTTACCTGGTTATTAGAATATTCATGAACATATAAGTAGGTGGCCGAAGATAAAGACATTTGCAAATACTGGTTAGCCAGGAGTTCAGATGCTTTTGTGCCGGTATAAATCACCAGCACGTCCGTTAGCCTAAGTAGATCACGAGTAGAATTGTGTGACATGAAGCACTTTGGATTTGGAAGTGAAACAGATTAGGTGATTGCGTACATGGTTTTCTCGAATATGAATCTCCAGTAGGTGTCCGGAGTATGCCAAACACGGTGGGCTACGCAATCTATCTGTTCCAATGCTATGCAAAAAGATGAATTATTCAGTTGCCTGAAGTTCCAATAACACACTTTGGACGGTTGGATTAGTCTGATTTAACAGACATACTGATAGCCGATAATAATATGATCACCCTTAACCAAAGGATGGAGAGTTACTAGGTTAACTATCAAATATTAATCATTTCAGAAGATACAGTCTAAACGAGATAGGGTTTGATTATTCCCTTGTCACGTTACTGGTATCACTTCTTCCGTAACCTCAAATTCGTCACATAGGTTGAACAAATTGGGCTTCAATAGGGTCAGTTTTCGCTGAACGTATGGTCGACAAAGTTAACTTTAAGTAAGTTAAAATCTCATAGAATCAGAATGTGCATGTGCCCCAGTTTAAGAGAGCAACTGGTCGTCCCCAACATTTAGTCCCCGGACTAGATGTCTGCAGATAGCTTCCTACAGATGGCATTCACTAAGCACTTAAGAGAATTGGATAGCTCATTGACCCAATGTGAACCAGCCTAAATTTAATGCAATTTTTTTTTCTTTTTAACCAGTTGTTCTTTGTGTACAACTGTGACGTGTGGCAACTTGAACCCATACATTTATGTGCCAGGTCCTATGTTGGTTTTGTCTGTCCGTTGGTCTGCATGTGGTTTCCCATAGAACCCTACCGCTCTTATCTTGAAGACTTCATAGGAGACTGAGACCATGTGTCAAGTTCATAGCAATCAGAGAATCATTTCGCACCACTACATGTTTTTCTAACTGGGGACACACTCGATGTAGCTAGTTACACAGAAGGATTCAAACTGTGAGCTAACAATCAATAGAATGAAAAGTAAACACTATAACTTTGCTGTACTGAAAACTTTTTTCGATAGTTCTAACACCATCTCGCTTGTAACATCACACACAAACTGTAGTCTCAAGATTTCTACGGATGTAATTTATTAGGATAGAGTCAAACTCAGAGGCCAGGTTATTCTGGACATCTGTGAAATATTCAATTGCATTTTAGTAAAAGTTAGGTATTCTCATCTTGAACGATCTACAGGTTGTTTCACATATATCCACACAGAAGTAAAACTAATATCTAAATCTTGACCACTATCTTATCAACAAACCGTAGGTCAATTAAATAGATAGAACTGCCTTCCATCTGAAAGTCACTTTTATACGCATAAATATAAATATTACTGTGCGAAATACTAACTAATGACTGCTCAACACTAGGAATATTATCAAAGAAAAAATTTGTGATAGATAATCTGTGGAACAAAATCAATTTCATCTAAAGAAAGCAAAACAAAAGCAAGTGAAAGTTCGAAAGTCAAATTTACAAAGGACCTAGTCCGATGAATTTGTTTCCGTATCTGTATGGCTCATGAAGGCAGAATCACTTGTACCCTGGACAATGCGCTGTAAGATCATCCTTGCAACTATAAAAAAAGGTAAGTAGTAGTAAATTAGTAATGTAGAAAATATATGCAACAAACGCATTAATTTAAAATAATTAGTTCCCTTTATAAACGTCGACAAAAGAATAGGAAGAAGTAAATTATCAGACAATTTACGCCGAAAGTAGTGTGGTTACATTAATATGATTATGAGCAATAATTTACGCTCGAAACGTCAGCAAGTAAACAATACTATACCACTGTGTTATAAATCAAATAAACAAATCTAATATGGAACTACACTTCAAAATGTATATCAAAGTTATCAATGTCAACAGACTCCGCAAAATCGGATAGGGAGCGTCGATAGGCGATAGTTTAGCGACTACGGACATGGAGGTCCGTTGTGTTTGTCAGACAAGCATAAAAGATCCAAGTATGGTTCTTCACTTAACTTCATAGGTCAATATTGTGAATCCGCAAAATGCGTACTTCGAATTGTTAGAGATTCGGTGGCTAGTTCTCGCGGTCATTCAGGTGTAAGTATATTATCAAGAGCTAAGGTGGAAAGTGCACTGCTCAACTGCATCCCACTTGACAGCCGCCTATGACCCGGGGGACCGAACAGCACGGTGAGGACTAAAACAGGTTGGCAGAAATCACCGTCGTCTCTTTGTAATCTCTACTTACGCAACCACTGACTGCATATTAGGTGAAGTGTAAGATGAGTTCTACTGAACACTATTCAGCCACCTACAGGAAGCCAAAAGGCTTTGATTTGGCTGTGATAGGACGTAATTTCAATGCACAGGTGGGTAGAATGAGTGTAACAGAAGACCACTTTGGAAGCTCGTTCAAAAAAACGGAGAATGGTAATCGTCTCCAGCAACCACTTATTACTAGTACCACGACTTTCGTAGATAAAGACAGACATTCTCTGAAGTTGAGCAGAAATCTGAGTATGTTTAGAGTGTGTTCCCACACTTGTCAAATGTTAGATGATGGTCCAGGACTGGTCTGCAACCTCTCTCAGGTTAATGATAGGGAGTGAAGTGATGGAGTATGTCGACCACTTCACTTACTTGGGGAGTTGCGTCAGCTCGAATCGGCTGGTTGCTGACGAAATCTCAGCTCAGATACATAAAATCCGTTCAGCATTCACCAACTTACGTTATCAATCGCATCGACCGGAGATATAACCGGCTATCTATCAAAGAAAGAGTATACTGCCCTGCAGTCCGTTCTTTCCTATTTTACGACTGTGAAACATGGTCGTTAAAAGTAGAGGTTAAGCGGTTAGAAGGTTTTGTCATGTGTCTTCGCAGCATTGCTGACATTTAGTGGAATTACTGTGGAGCTATGTTGAGGTCAGACAAAGGGTACTATACAAGAGAAACAAGTCGATTGATGAGGTTGTGAACCCTCATCGACTGAAGTGGTTTGGATACACTGCGAATGGTGAGTTATTGCCTACCTCGACGCGCTATGTCATGGGAAGTTGGATTAAGTTGGAAAAAGGATTATGGCAACCAGACCAAGACATGGCGCCATGAAGTCCTTAACTGTTCATCTGAGACGTTATGAGAGGTGTAGACTACCTGTCTGGGGTCACCGAGACGATAGAGACCAGTGGTTAAGGAGTCTTGATGACATGGTTGGAAATCAGTCACAATGACGCAGATGTTTTCATTCTTTGATGTCTTCTAAAGCTTGCGTATTCGCACTAACTGTTAGCTTTACATTGCTCATTCTTTCACACAACTTTCTCTACTTTGATATCGCTTTCTCCCCCTGTTCGTTACATACTACTGTGAAGTCTGGTAACATGGGCCAACGCACCTGATTTTGTCAGTCATTCAGTCACTAACTGGCGTGGCGTCCCCTGACTTCAATGGTGGATGATTAAAAACTAGACCTTAAAGCCGACACGTGAGTCAAAAGCGTTGGTTGTTTCAAGCATGCAAAAATAAAGGTAGAAGGACTATAGTTGTAAGATTACTATGAGTGCAGCGTGACGATAAGAATACTGAGCCTGGTTTCAAAAATGAACTGGTTAGATATATGTAGGAACAAGAAGTCACTCAACCAGCAGGTTGGTTCGATGCAGGCGCAGGCCAAGTAAAAGAATATTTTTTTTGCTTCGCTTGAAGTCACTGGTAGTCAGACAGAAGTGTTTGTGAGGACAGAACTATATGACAGGATTGCCCTTGTTGGATCGTTGGGATAGGATAGGGTAGGTAACTATAAGATCCCTTTCGGGTTGGCTGAGCTTGACTGCTTGGACGTTGAGGTCAATGACTAATATAAATATATCTGAGCGTTTTGGTCTATGTAGAGAAATAGACATCTTAAGATAAGATTTAAGCATTGTGCAGTCAAAACCATGGTCAGTGGGTGCGCATCAGGAAACTGCGAACAGGTATGGTCATTCCCAGTTAATAAATATCTATTCAGTCGAACAGCACCCATACAGTTGTGGATTGGTATGATCGGACATCATTTTGCCTTGAGCCAGAGGAACAAAGCAGTATAACTTAGCAAGATTATTTCAAATGACTAAGATAACTGAGATAGTCGACTGGCAGCTTTTTAAAGCACTATATCATAGTAGAACACGCCTAGTTAACAAGTTCACTAGTTACTAGCCGGTCCTAAACATGGATAAAGAGGGAACATTGGGCAACCCTACCCGGTAAAACCAATCCAATCGCTAAAAAAACTTCAAAGCACAAAGAAAATATAAAAAATAAAATAAACCCATTCCTCAATGGAATCAGGGAGACGAAATGACGCCGGTTGCTGAAAACCATCGCGAAGCCAATTGGGCGATATGTCCTCTCTCTCGATGAACGCAAAAGTAAGCATAGGGACATGGAATGTCCGAACAATGTTTGAAGCTGGCTGGCAAGGCTGACCAGATTTCAAAAGAAATGAGAAGGTATGGCATGGAAATGCCAGGAATCTGCTAGAGTAGATGCAATGGAAGTGGACTCTCCAAACTGTCAACTAGAGAGTCGATAGTCTACTCTGATATTTTCACCCAGACGACAACCACAAGCACACTGAGTTTCGGAGTGGCTATCATGATCTCCCCCAACAGCATCGAAGGCTCTCATACAGTGGGAACCAATCTCCTCCACAATCAGGATTATGACAGCAAGATTCAACTCAAAAGAAAAGAAAGTAACAATCATACAACACTACGCTACGCACCTACAAACAATGAAGACCAAGAGAAAAAGGAGGAATTCTACAGACAACTGCAATCAGTAATGGACAAGACCCCACCCCAGATGGAGACATCAATGGGTGACATGAATACCAACACAGGAAGAGAAATCATCAAGGGTGGAGAAGCACTCAGTGAAATGAACGAGAATGGAGAATTGTTTGCAGACTTCTAAGCAAACAACGATTTGGTGATTAGAGGCAGTGTGTACAAACACAAGGATATTCACAAGGTAGCGACATGGATTTCACCAGACACTAGGACACACTAAAAATCACATCAACTTCATCTCAATGTGAAGAAAGTGGAGACGCAGCCCACTGAACACAAGATCAGATGAAGAAGGGGAGCAGATGTAGGTGGTTCACACCACTCACTATCTAGTGCAAGGAACCTACCTTCCAAATCAAGTTGAAGCATATCACAGAAGTTGGTGACAGACAGATCACAGTTCAAGTTCAACAACCACACAGAACAGAAACTGAACTGACGGACGAAACTAATGAGGACATCTTCATGTCAGTCAGTCAGTCATCAGGAAAAAATGAGAGAAATTAGGCAACATCCATGAAGAAAACTGCGTGGAAGGACACTGGAACCCTTTGAAAGAGACGTGGAAGGAAACCTGCATAACCGTGTCAGGAAGGAAGAAGAAGCAAGACAAGACAAGGAATGGATCTCCACGGACACATGGAAGCTGATAGAGCAGGGAGAGGAAGATGGCGAGGTAGAAGATGAACCAGTGCAATGTAGTGCAGTGCAAGGAACTGAACACAACCTACAAAACACTCACTACACTGGACAAAGAAGTGAAGAAGAGTGCGCGCAAAGACTAGAGACACTTCTACAACACACTGGCAATTGAAGCAGAACAGGCTGCTGGTAGCAGAGACAGAGACCTGACAACAACATATCAAATAACCAGGTTACTATCTGGGAGGGAAGAGATCAACGCAGATGAAACCAATGACAGATAGTGAAGGAAAACTAGTTACCAAAAAGGAGCAACAAAGGCAACAATGAGCTGACCACTTCAAAAAACTCTTGAATCAACCAACACCTGCAACTCGTCCAGAAATACCACCAGCAGTCCAGCCACAGAACTATCAGTGAACACAAAACCTCCAACAAAAGCAGAAGTGAGTGCCATAAAGTTGCTGAAATCCAGGGAAGCACCACGGCCAGATGGAATTCCTCCAAACGCAGAGACAACAGCAGACATGCTCACACCACACCAATACTGCAGGAGGTTTGCAAGGAAGGCAGGAAAGGTACCTGCCTGCCGATTGATGGGAAGAATGGCTTTCGCAAATTCCAAGCACTTCCATGCCGTATCTCTTTCGCAATCTGGGCAGCGTATTTAGGTTCATACATTATTCGTCCATTTCTTTTCCCTATGCTTACTTTTGCGTTCATCGAGAGAGAGGACATATCGCCCAATTGGCTTCGCGATGGTTTTCAGCAACCGGCGTCATTTCGTCTCCCTGATTCCATTGAGGAATAGGTTTATTTTATTTTACATAATTTCTTTGTGCTCTGAAGGTTTTCTAGCGATTGTATTGATTTTCCTAGGTAGAGTCGCTAGCCCCACGCCCACCCTTCCGTCTTCGTCCGTAATTAAGAGCGTTCAGTTAACCTGTGAACTAGTAATCTATGCGAGCTTTTTAGAAATTTCTATGTATATAATGTGAATTCTGTCTCCGTCTGGTTTCTGCAATGAGCAAGTTAGTAATGCGAGATTACCCTTCTTTAAATCCATGTTTTCGGTGTGTAGAGAAGTTCATGCTCATGAGGCGATTCCCCAGTCCATTGT